ACACACACACACACACACACACACACACACACACACACACACACACACACACACACACACACACACACACACACACACACACACACACACCGGCCAGGTTGATCACAGGTAGGGAGGAGCCGGGTTCTGTTGGTTGCGACACGCTGCTCTGGGGAAGTCTTGGCAGGACGAACCCAAAGTTTCATGGCAAGGCCCCCTGTTTATATAGTGATTTTCCTTCACTGGGACCAACGAGTCATGCTGTAATCAATTGTTGTTTGGCAAGGGCTTGTTTTCTTAAACTAGCCTTCTCATCCTTTATCTTGTTCTTTTCTCACGTCTCTCAGGGAGTTACCCCAGGCTGGGTTTGATCACTGCTCTCTTGTCCCCACTGATAGGTGTCTGTCTCATCTTTACAGTCGTCAATCTGCCTTCCTCTGACATGTCAATAGGGGCGTGTTGCAGCCTCCTGGCGCCCTTGCGTCTGTCTCTGGTTTCTCCCTAGAACATCTGGTTCAGCGATGGCCTTCACACTTCTCTCTTAACACACAAATTCCTCATTCACACACAAACCACAATTAATTTCCACAGAACATTTTGAACAGGAACATCAAGTTGCAATGCAGAAGCAAAACAATCATGGCTACATTATTATCTTATTATTCTTTATCCTTCACTCTAAATTATACAAAATACAAACAATAAATCCTAGAACTACACCCTGACCTGTCTCTCCCACAGGACATCGCCACGCCCAAGTTCTCCATGCCGTCCCCCGTCCGCACCGTCCTCGCGGCCGACTTCGACAACGACCAGGAGCTGGAGGTGTTCTTCAACAACATCGCATACCGGGGCTCCTCCGCCAACCGCCTCTTCCGGTAGGGCCGCCCGCCAGGGCAGGGTCAGAGGGCAGGCTGCCTACCGGGCGGGGGCTGGGAGCAGCTCACCTGCCCACCCAGGAGATGGGCCACAGGCCCAGGAAAGCCGGGGACCGCTGCGTGCCCAGGAGGTAGGGCAGGCGGGCTGGATTCCGGTGCCCCTGGCGTGGAGCTGTGCTCCGTGCCCAGGACAGGAGGTGTGCCCACGAGAGCCCACGGGCACCAGCCACTGTGACTAAGCCCTTTGCAATGTCATTATTAGCCCCTCACTCACAGCGCTAATGGCCCCTCGTTAATTGTGGGGATTGATAGCTCATTGTCCCGGGTGGATAGTGCCAAGTGTCCGCACCGCCAGCCCCATGGCCACTCTCCGGCCCCACCATTTGCCCGCACTAAGGCCCATCTGGCTCTGCGGGAGCCTGGCAGTCTCTCCAGCAGAGGCTCCGAGTCTGTCCCTGCCTAGTGCCGAAGGGAGACGATGCTGTGTGCGCCAGGCAGGGCTCCCGCCGGGATGCAGTGCTGGCATGGGCTCTCGCCCGACACGGCTGCCCCCTCTGCCAACCCTGCCCCTTGCAGCCCAGGGACCCTGCGTGGAGCCAGAGGCTCGCGTGGCAGGGGGTCGCGTGGCCAACAGACATGGAGGGGCTCGGGCAGCCGGTGGGGTTGGGGCCCCGGAGCCTGGCTCTCACCCTCGTCCCCTGCCTGGCCCTGCAGGATCATCCGCAGGGAGCACTTGGACCCCGTGATCGAGGAGCTGAACCCAGGAGATGCCATGGAGCCCGAGGGCCGGGGCACTGGTGAGTCCCCCGCCTGCTGCCCCTCAGGGGCTGGGCCAGGTGCTGAGATGCCCCAGGGTGTGCTGCCTGGGGACCCTGGGCACTGTGGGGGTCAGTGGGGTGACACATGAGTCAGCGCTGGCCAGCAGGGGGCGCCTGCAGGGCTGGGTGGGGAGCTGCAGCCACTGCGCGGGACTGGGAGCGAGCGGGCGAATCCTGGGCTGGCTCCGGGTTGCGGGCGGCTGGATCGACGGCTCCATTGTCCTCTCCCGTCCCTGCCCCCAGCCTGGCCCCTCTGCGCCCTCAGCTGCCCAGTGCCTCCGTCAGTTCCTGGGGGTCAGGGTCAGGGGGCTGCGGGGAGCCAAGCCTGGCACAAGCCAATGGCTGCTGATGTAACCCCACCCCGGGGACCCGAACCTGGCTCCGTGCGTGCTGCCGGCGACAGGCAGGAAAGCTGAAGAACCTACTGACAGGCAGCATGACCTAATGGTCAGAGCAGGGGCCTGGGAGCCAGGACTCCTGGGTTCCATCCTCCAGCTCTGGGAGGGGCATGGGGCTAGGGGATCAGGGCAGGGGGGGCTGGGAGCCAGGACTCCTGGGTTCCATCCCCAGCTCTGGGAGGGACATGGGGCTAGGGGGTCAGGGCAGGGGGGTCTGGGAGCCAGGACTCCTGGGTTCTACCCCTGACACTGACTCTCTTTCATCTTAGGCAAGAAATGGCCCTCTGTAGCCTGGGCTGCTTCCCCGGCTGTCTGTCCCTCTGGGCTGCCTGCAGCCCGACATGGCTACTGGGCATGGGGTGGATCATCCCTGCAAGGCTGTGGACACCTGAGCTGTTCCCCAGGTGCAGGCTGAGCCGGGGCTGGCGTGAGAGCCGGGCAAAGCTGGGCCGGGAGGTGGGGGACTGCGATGGGGGCTGACCCCCCAGCCCCTGGTGTCATTGCAGGGGGTGCAGTGACTGACTTCGATGGCGATGGGCTGCTGGACCTGATCCTGTCCCACGGCGAGTCCATGGCGCAGCCGCTCTCTGTCTTCAGGGGCACCCAGGTGCGTTGGAGCCCCGTGCTCGCCCCCTGGGCCGCATTTGCTGTAAAGACTTTATATGAATACTGTGCGTGCCTCAGTTTCCCCATCACGGAGTCCCCGGCTGGGTGCGCAGGCACCGCCCTGAATGAAGTCAGGCAGGGCTCCAGTGCAGGGCGGCTCCCCTCAGGGCACACGCTCCCCAGGGCAAGACGCCTCCTGGGCGTCGCTGCTTCCTGGGTCTGACCTCGGAGCGTTCAGCCCCCTGTTCACCCCACCCCGGGAGCTCCCTGAGCGAGTCCCCCTGGATCGGACACCCGGAGTAGCCTCACGCGCCCCCCACGGGCCCTGCCCCCACTCCGCAGCCAGCAGTGACTCTCGGCCAGCGTGGGACACAGACGGGTTATTAGTCATCGCTCGGGAGCACAGCGTAGAACACAGCACAGAAATCGGGACATTCACAAAAGTCCATCTGGGGGGATCCCCCCGGAGTCCCAAACCAGGAGCCCGACTCGCTCCCAGCAGCCCAGCCTCAGACACTCCTGTCGCCCCTCCTCCATCCTTTGTCTCTTTCCCAGGCAAAAGGGCCACCTGGTCTCTACCCTTTTCCTTGCTCCAACTTGTCACAGCCCCAACCATCCGTTGCCGGGTTACAGAGTACTTCGGCCATTATCTATGTAGAGGCAGCGAGGGGCAGGCGAACCTGCCCACTGGGGGCTCAGCAAAAATCACAGCTCCTTGTCCCACCCCCTAGGTATTTGTGTAACACACAGGGGAAACTGAGGCACACACCCAGTATTCAGAGAAAACATTAAGCACATTCCCACTGTGTCATCCCCCTTCCCCCAGATGAAGTCTCTGGCTCTGCCCCATTCAGCCTGGTCCCTGGGAGTGTCTCCCCCAGCCGGAGCCTCACCCCCCCCCCCCCGCAACAGTCTGCGACCCCGAGTCAAGGCTGGGGAGTGTGTGCAGGTTTTAGCTCCAGTCACACGTCCGGATCATCTCCCGTCAGCACCTCTGCGGGTCGCTGATCCTGCCTCTTGGGCCCCTCCTTGGCCCCATCTTGGGTCCTTCTTCACTGAGGGGCCAAACACCCCCCTCAGGGCACAAGATTCGTGGGCACTAACTGTTCTGGGCCCACCCCGGGGCCGTGCCAGCGTCACCTCAGCGCCCATGTCCAGTACCTGCACTTCCTTCCCAGCCACCTCCCTGGGGCCAGAGACGCCTGCTCCACACAAACGACATCACAGGTCGCTGAGGTCCCTTGGAGGGGGTCGGCCGCATCCACCGTCACCCCGGATTTGGGCTTCCCAGAGTCCTGCTTCTGGGGCACCCCTGGGTGGCCTCTCTTTGGGTCCTTGACCTGGGCCGGTCCCTCCAGATCTCTCCATGCCTGGCCCTGCTGCCCACAAACTGCTCTGCCGGCCTGCGCTGTGCAGATCCTTGGGCTTCCTGTCCACAAGCCACGTTTTCTGCTCAGCTCCCCCCACCTCCAATCTGTCAGGGGACCCAGGTCGCGAGGACACCCCCTGCAAGACGGGGGGCCCGGGTGGCACGGACGCCCTGCTGCTGCTCCAGATGCTGCCTCTGCTGCTCTCAGACCCTCCTAGAACCTGCTTCTCGGACCGATCGTCCTTCTCCAGCCATGCCAGCTGCTGCCCGCTTCCCCCCCTCTCCCAGCAGGGGCTGGCGATGCCCCGAGGGGCAGGTCACACCCCCTTCTCCTGCTGTTCCCTTTGGCTGCCAGGAACTTACAGCAAAATACTTCTGGTGCGTTCAGCAACCTCCCATCCTCGTGGTGCCTTCCCCAGCCCGCCTCTGCCCCCCCGTCACAGGGCCAGTTCTCTTCAACAGCCCCCGGGAGGCCCCCGGGAGGGAGCCAGACCCCCCCAGGGGCTCGCTCTGTCGCTGGGGAAGCCCCTCGGCTTCACCGCCCCCTTGGACCGAGCCTTCAGCACCCCTGGCTCATGCCGTGAGCTCCCTTCAGCGAGTCCACCGGAGAGAGACTTGGACCCCAGGGGGCGCAATGCCCCCCACCTCCAGCACCTGCCAGGGCGCAGCCAGCGCGGTTACAGCAGGGGGTTAGGAGGGGCTGGACCCCAGCTAGGCAGGTCTTGGGTAGCACCCTGAGCAGGAGGCTACAGCCTGGTCCACACACCCAAGTATCCAGCCCTTCTCCACCCCCAGGTGACAGAGCAGCATGGGGGAAACTGAGGCACACAGAGTATTCCTACAAACTTCCCAGAAAATCCCCACCCCCCTGCCCGGCTCGGTTCACCTGTCTGTCTCCCACAGGGCGCTGGCAATAACTGGCTCCGCGTCATCCCACGCACCCGCTTCGGGGCCTTTGCTCGGGGGGCCAGGGTGGTGCTGTTCACCCAGCGCAGTGGGGCGCACCTGCGCATCATCGACGGTGGCTCGGGCTACCTGTGCGAGATGGAGCCCGTGGCGCACTTCGGCCTAGGTGAGTCACCGGCAGCCCTGGGCATCCGTCTGCGGCTCCTGGCCGGAGCTGAGACATGCGGTCAGGGCAGCATTAGACTCCCTGCTGTGTTCCCCAGCTCTGCCGGTGCCCCTCACTCCCGACCCGCAGCCCCTGCTAGCCCAGCCCTGCCCCCCAGCACTGCAGGTGCCCCTCACTCCTGACCCGCAGCCCCTGCTAGCCCAGCCCTGCCCCCCCCTCAGCTCTGCCAGTGCCCCTCACTCCCGACCCGCAGCCCCT